CACTGTCTTATGTTTTATCTTGCACCCCCCTTCCCATGAACTCAGGGAAAAGGGCGGCCTATAAATAACAAATAAATTCTAAATTCTAAAATGTCTCCCCTAGTCCTTCTCTCTATTAAACTAGACATACCCAGTTCCTGTAACCGTTCTTCATATGTTTTAGCCTCCAGTTCCTTAATCATCTTTGTTGCTCTTCTCTACACTCTTTCTAGAGTCTCCACATCTTTTCTACATTGTGGTGATCAAAACTGAATGCAGTATTCCAAGTGTGGCCTTACCAAGGCATTATAAAGTGGTATTAACACTTCACGTGATGTTGATTCTATCCCTCTGTTTATGCAGCCTAGGACTGTGTTGGCTTTTCTGGCAGCTGCTGCACACTGCTGGCTCATATTTAAACGGTTGTCCACTAGGACTCCAAGATCCCTCTCACAGTTGCTATTATTGAGCCAGGCACCACATACACTGTACCTGTGCATTTTGTTTTTCTTGCCTAAATGTAGGACCTTACTTTTTTCACCATTGAATTTCATTTTGTTAGAGAAGGAGCCTTCTTATTGCTGGTACCAATCGATGAAATTCTTTCCCCAGAAATAATGTGAAGAATGAACATTTTGAAAGATGTTATTATTTCAGGCACTTTAGGAAATCCTGTTTCTGTTTTGCCGTTGGCTCTACTTTGATTTTTGTCAGCTGCATTTTCATTTGCTATTATTGCTAGTGGTTTTAATCACTATCATGCTGTCGTTTGGCCATTTTGTGTCTCTTTGATTTATATTGTACATTTAAATAGATTTTCAAACTACCTAGGGAAATGTAGTAGTGAGGCAGTTTAGAAATATACAAGATGATGTAGCTCAAGGACATTTTTATTTTAATGTGTTTCTTATGCATTTCATTCTTGGAGGACTTTTTTTCATAGCCTTGAGCTATGTTCAAATGGTGATCTCTTGTGCTTTTCCTGGCACGCACAAACTTGTGTATATATGGATTTGTATTTCTCTCTCTGTGTGTGTAGGTATATGTTGGGTTTTTTTGTATTTGTGTGTGTATACGTGTATATAGCCTTTCTTATGCTGGTTTATATAGGGAGCTCGAATTTAAGGAGCAGCTGAAGATAACCCACAATTCTGATATCTTCATTGGCATGCATGGAGCAGGCCTTACTCATCTTCTCTTTTTGCCAGATTGGGCTGTCATCTTTGAACTGTAAGTCTTTCCTTGGCAGTTATGCTTGTATTTTTAATATCTTTGCATGAGGGTGTGGGCATGCATTACACGAAGATGGATTTCTTGCTGCAGAGAAAGCTCCACATTTGTGTTTTTTAATATATGCGTGACAGTGAAGGATGGCACGACTTCCTGTGTCACAGGAGCTGTCAAAATTATCTGGGTGGTAATTGGTAAAAATCAAGAAACGCTTCTTCAAATCGATGCGGTAACCCTGTTTGCTGACTCTTATTGGATTGAGGTTGACAGCAGGCAGCCTCCAGGCTAAACCCAGTCTCCTTTTCTGGGTGGTTTGTCAGAAAAACTAGTTGTTGCCTGGATCATTTTTAAACAGACCTTAAAAATCACATCTAATCTTTCACTCGGAGGCAAGTCATGTGGACATCAACCACAGAGACGATATGCTTGCTCTTTGTGGCTGCTTCTTTCTTTATCTTCTCTCTCACGAGGACATGGCCAGGTTTGTCGATTGGGTTACTCTTGCTGCCCGTGAAGATACTGTGTTTTAAAATTGTGTGTGGCTGCTGCAGTTTCCCGTTCTCTCTAGTCTCTCATTTCATAGGTGATACAACTACACCAGGGGTGGTATTCACTTACTTTCCCTATCGGATAGCAAAGGTGAGCGCTCCGTCCATGCATGCACTCGGCCTTCTGCGCATGCACTTTGATCGTGCCCCGGCTTGCACACACGGGCGCGGCTTGAAAACGTGCCTAAATAGGACAGCATAGAGCTTGGGCGGGTGGGTTGGCCCACCCATGATTTATTTCCACTACCGAGTGAATTGGTCCAAACTGGCTGAATACCACCTCTGACCAATACACACTGGCAAAGATAAACATGAAGTATTTGACCTTTGGCTTTCCATAACTTGCTTCTCCTTTCTATAGGGACAGAGCTGGAAAAAAGAAAAAACACAGCTGGTTAGTTTTCTGGTAAAATTGTCTTTGACAAATCCCCATCATTTCTGCATCCCTGTAGGTACAATTGTAAAGATGAACGTTGCTACTTAGACCTTGCAAGGCTGAGAGGAATCCATTACATCACCTGGCAGCAGAAGGATAAAGTGTTCCCTCAGGATGAGGTATACTAGAAGGTTGGGTGGGATGGATGGAAAGGACTTTATTTCCTTGGGTCTTAATTGTTTTTGTATTACCCTTCTCAGTTCTTCTACATGAAATATGATTCTGTTCTACAGCCCAAATTAAATTCTCTGCTCTGATTAAGGAGTCATTTTATATTAATAGCTGGGGGAGGAAGAGTAATGAAATTAATTGGCCATTAGTTTAGGCTGTCAATAGCGTTGCTGTGAGGGGTTTCTAACCGATACGGTAGTTTTGGGGTGATCAATAAATCAGCTATTATGAATTATAATAATTACTTAATATGCTTGTTTTACCTCAGTGCTTCCTTAAAATAATGTTAACTCCTATTTCTTCAGGGGCATCACCCGACATTAGGAAAACATCCAAAATTTACAAATTACGCCTTCGATGTGGAAGAATTTGTCCGTCTGGTTCTGTTGGCAGCTGATCATGTGTCACAACACTCCAAATGGCCATTTAGGAGAAAACATGATGAATTCTAGGTCAGATAATTGGCCTCCTCTGCAGAGTTTTTAAATACTAAAGTGTTCAGAATGTCGGTTCTTTTGAAGTAGAATCACGAATTATGAACTTGTTTGAAGAGGGAGAAGTGAAAAGGGTTAAATGGGCAGGAGTCATATATAATGTCTCTCTCCAAGCATGTTATTTCTGCATTATTACTTTCTTACTGACAATCCCCGTCCTAATTTACTTGAGGAATTTGCATTATGCATGATCTATTTATTAAGGTGAACATGTTTGCACTATAATATTCCTATTTATTTTAGGATTGTCATTGCTCCAGAGCAGTGAAGTGAAAGATAAGCACACTGGACCTTTTCCTCGCTTGCTTCTTTTTGTGACATGTAGCAAGACCTTTGCAGCCTTGTATCTCCCTCCTTCCCTCCTTCCCTCCCTCCTTCCCTCCCTCCCTCCCTCAGCACTGACAGTGATCTGGAAATGAAAATCCAGCTGAGGTCCAATGTGTGGACATGTGTAATGGAAAAGCTAAGAAATCAGGTTGATAATGCAACTTATGTGTGACTTGCTAAAATGTTACACTTTTTTAAAAGCAGCAAATCACAGCTGAGGGAAGGGGATTTTGGCATGAAATTCACAGAGGGCCTCAGTCCTAATCAGCAGTTCAATCCTGATCTGTCACTCTGACTTCATTTTTAATTAAAAGAGAAGTATCTCTCTGAAATATGCTTAATCATGGTTTTGTTTCTATTGCCAAATGCATTTCACATTTAGGACTGTCATTATACAGGGAATCCCTGGTTAATGGCCATTTATTTAGCAAGTTATGATAGTGCTCAAGACCCCATGGTCCTGTGATCCTGATTCAAGCACTTGGCAACTGGCTTGCAGTTACAATGGTTGCAGCATCCTGGGGTCACATAGCCATTATTTGCAGCTCCCGCTGCTAGCTTCCAACAAGCAAAGGCAATGGGGAAGACAGCAGGAGGTTGCAAATGGCAATCACATGACATAACATAACGCAAGGTTCTTCTAATGGCAGCTAGAGCTGCTGGAACTGTTGTCATAAATCAGTGTAGTCATTGTCACTTAGTGACGAAGTTATTGCTCCCAATTGCCATTGTTAACTGAGGACTACCTGCAGATTTAGTTTTACTCATTAATGATTCCTCTGTTTGCTTTCTGTGGGTGTCCATGTTACACATGGGATGGCAGGTGTAGGGATGAAATATTTTAAGTTGTTACTGTAGCAGTTTTCTTCATGGGATTTTACTGTGTTTATCTTAGCAATTTACCCTTGTCTTAAGTATCACTTTGTTTATTTTTCTTACTTGGACAAAATTGTCACCCATTTTAATCTCCTTGATTTATCTTGCTAAACATGCTACAGTCATTCTAACCTTGTCTAACCCTCAACTTTGTGTACATCCTATTTAGACTTCTGTTACCGTTGTTTTAAACAACTGCCTAAATGGTTCAGTTGTGGGTGGGGGAGAGGGAGAATATATACAATTGAATAGTATTTCCTAAATAATTTTCTATCAATATACATCAGGACTGTCAAACTTGCAGGCCGGATGCATCACATGCTGGCCATGCCCATGCCCGGTTTAATGAAGGGGGGGGGAGTCCCTATACGTCACGTGACGCCACGGTGACGCAGCGAGTTTGACACTCCGGATGTACATCATTGTCTATTTTTCATATAATTGTGGAGATCACCTAGAGGAGATCACCCCTGACTGCTCTTTAGAAGGCTACATCCTGAAGATGAAAGTCAAGTACTTTGGCCACCTAATGAGAAGGAAGGACTCACTGGAGAAGAGACTAATGCTGGGAAAGATTGAGGGCAAAAGAAGAATGGGGCGACAGAGAATGAGGTGGCTGGATGGAGTCATTGAAGCAGTTGATATGAGCTTAAATGGACTCCAGAGGACTCCAGAGAACAGGAAGGCCTAGAGGAACATTGTCCATAGGGTCATGATGGGTTGGACATGACTTTGCAAATAACAACAACAACAACAACCTTCTGAAAGTCCAAATGGGACTAAGATAGGATAGGTCCTTGTTACTAAATTTCTTGTTATTTCTTATGGAAATAGCCACAATACTAAAGTTGACTAGAATTAAATTTATCTGTATCCCTTGCCACAGAGAGTGTAGGGGAGAAAAAGCATAAGAACAATATTGATTCTAATTTGCACTGTTTGTAGCTGGAATGCTTGCAACCTTGATTTAGGGTATTCCGCCCTTGACAAAAAGGACTCCTCCTTATTTGTATGCAAAAGTAGACAAGCATAAATACTTGGATGATACATAATGATTGATATTATTGACCCCTTTTTAAATAATCCAAAGCAATTGTTTAGAGAGTGGCCCTATTGGCTGTTGTGTTTATAGAAGGGGATGGAAAAGGGCAGCTTATGGATTCTTCTAACATGAGTCACTGCAAAAGAGAACTGAAGACTTTTGAAATGGGCTGGCTTATGAAGATTTGCCTTTCCTTCTTAGACTGAGGCAATTGGTTGAAAAAAAAACACTTGTCTATAAAACTTGAAAATTGTACACATAACCCCCCCCTTCCCATAAATCTAAAAAGATCATTAAGAATGAAAAAAAAAACCCCACATGTCAACCAGTATCGAAGTGTTTTTCTTAAAAAAAAAAAAAAGGGAAATTTACTTTGTAAAATATAGGCATTTATTTGTGAATGGACATTTATAGATCATGTCAGATCACTGTAAATATTTATTATCAGACGTGCCAGGGTTTAAAAATGCATGTTCTACAACCCCTTTTTCCTCCGGAGCAAACATTTATTCCTTAATTATTGGAAAAACATTAGGATCCTTAATGCATTCTCATCCATCATCAGATTAAAGCTTTGGAGTCTGTGTCTTGGAAAGATGCACTGACTTTGAATGGCCATCATAATAACTAAATGGACAGCACACAGTCTAGAGCCCCGTACGCTGTCCAGCGCTGAAGGTTAATCATCTGCTAAAGAAATAGAAGGGCTCAGTGGCTAAGACGCTGAGCTTGTCAATCAGAAAGGCCGGCAGTTCGGTGGTTCGAATCCCTAGCACCGCGTTGTGAGCTCCTGTTACTTGTCCCAGCTTCTGCCAACCTAGCAGTTCGAAAGCACGTAAAAATGCAAGTAGTAAAATAGGAACCACCTTTGTAGGAAAGTAATAGCGTTCCATGCGCCTTTGGCGTTTAGTCATGCCGGCCATATGACCCTGGAGACGTCTTCGGACAGTGCTGGCTCTTTGGCTTTGAAACGGAGATGAGCACTGCCCTCTAGAGTTGGGAACGACTTGCATATACTGTATGTGCGAGGGGAACCTTTACTTTTATCTTTAAAGAAATAGAATCAAAGAAAGAAAAATGAGCTGGAGCCTATTACTGTCCCAAAATATTAAAGAGAAATGGAAGACTGTGCTGATGAATTTGGAGATTAGTTCATCATTCCTAGTGTGAGGAAAGACTTGGCGAAAACTAATATTCACGTTATAGTAATTAGAACAACTTTTGTTAGACTCAGAATAACTTTATTATCACTTTGAATGTACACTAATTGGCATGCATTAAAATGAAATTTCTTTGCCTACAACCCTCAAAGGGTCACCACCTACAATATACACTACATAACCATGACAAAATAAATAAATAAATACATACATACATAATTATGCGTATACCCACATATATTATATGACATGGAGAAACAACACAGTCTCATTCAGATGTATACATGTGCATGGCAAGAAAAACTAATCTTGCGAGTTTACCAGACGGATAGCATAAGGAACAAAGCTGTTGCAGAATCTGCTAGAAATACTCTGAACCACCTCCCAGAGGGGAGAAACAGAAGCAGACCGTAAAGTGGGTGTGTGGGGTCTCTAACAATGCTTTGAGCTCTAAGCACATAGCTCATAAGCAGTGTCCTGAATGACAGGAAGCGAGGTTCCTATAATCTTTTAGGGTGTCTTAACCATTCTCTATATAGGCTTTCTATCTGAAGCACTGCTACCACCAAACAGTGATGCAGTTTGTTAAAACGCTCTCAGTCATGCCTCTGTAAAAAGTGGCCAAGACAGAAGGAGAAAGATGTGCTTTCCTCATCCGGTGCAGGAAATGCAGACTCTGGTTTGCAGCTTCACTAAGGATGACATGTGGACAGACCAGTTCAGATTGTTATCTGCATCCTCAGATACTTAATACTGTTGACCATCTCTACAGCTGCACCCTTAATACTGAATTTAAATGTTGTAACAAAATATAGAGAGAGGAAAGGCCAGAAATGATAGGCACTGAAAGAATAAGATATTTGGGCAAGCTGTTTAGCAACTGAGTTTCATTTTAACAACCAGGTTGTTAAGTGAAATGATTTAAGTGAAATGATTCTCTTACTACAGTACACCAATGTTACTTATTCCAGTGTGCATTGTTGTCAGGTGCACAAAATTTAGTCATAAATATGGGCACGGATTGGAAAATGAATTATTGCCATTGTATTTGCAAATGGTCACTAGCCAGGCTAGTTGCTGAACAAAGAGTGGGTTGTAGTGACTGGGCTACATAATGCAAGGCTTAGGACTTGTACTGGATTCATTGGAAATACTCCCTACCAAAGGTCATAGATTCATAAATTGTCTAGTAATTACATATCTGTTTGTTATATTTCCAAAACTTCATTTCAACTGTGTAATAGGAGGTGATGAATGCATGTTGATAATGATGTGATGCACTGTATAACCTACTGCCTGAAAATATTTTGGGAGGCTATAATCAATACATAGAGAACAGTGACCTACACATTGTTTTTTATATTATCATTCTGTTATGAAATGTTGCTCCATGCACTCCAGTTACTTATGTGCAGGTATTTCAAAATGTATGAACCCATTCACTTGAAAGGAACAAGGATTTTGAGGACTGGAACAACTCATTTTACCTTTGAATACAGATTGAGAAGAATTGTTTTTAATTTTATAAGCGAGTAAACCATTTCTTATTCATTTGAAAAGCTTTGTCCTATGCCACCGGTTTCTGAATTGTTTTTTGTTTTATTCCTGAACAGCCTTTTGCTATTGACTTTTGAAATAAAACACTAGCTTTTTGGTCTTTGAGCATTTTTTATTTTTTGATAAAGCGATTTCTTTGAAAAAAACAACAATAGTGTGCGATTTTGCTTTCTCTACATGCCCATCCATCCATTAGGGAGAGCAGCTTTAAAGAGTTGTAAGCAGGTGTACTATTTGCAGTCCCATATGTTTCATGCAATAGAGTGTATGCTCTACACTGTGCAATTATTTTATATATATTTTAAGCACTGCAATTATTTTATATATATTTTAAGATGCATAATCTATTTTCAGGCTCCTTTACAGTTTTTTTTCAATATTTAATACGCCACTAGATGGTGCCAAAATACTATCGGGTTAGGAATGATAATTCAGATGCTCCGGAGAATGAAATTTAGGATCTAAAAGCACAGTTTAGAAACTCCAAGATTCACCTATAATTAGATGTGAGCACACTAACAGAGTCATTTAATTATTATGGGTTGGGTCTAGGCTTAATTATATCTAGATTAAATTCAATGAAATCAACGGAGCTTAAGTTAATCACGACGAATTGATTTCCATTTATTTCAGTGGATCTACTCGAAAGGGTAGATCCAACGTGCGAAAGTTTATAATCCCCTCTTTTTATCAACTAGGTCCTCCAGGTGGCGTACAAACATAATTCCACAGCACTATAAAAATGTCAACAATAAAACGTACAAACAAGCTAACAAAAACAGTTTAATGTATTTAGCTGCAGATTAAAATGTTTGTTTTAATTGGAACCGTCCCTGTGAGCAGATGTTCGGTGATGATAGTTTGTTACATTTAACCTCGGCACATCTTGATGCAGAGAGCAGGCTTTTTCCAAACAATACATTATTTGCCTTCTGGGCAAATGTTAACCTTGACTAAAGAGACTCAGCATTTCAGCTGTGTCTTTTCTGTGATAAGTGCCTCTGGATCTTCATAAACTCTAGAAAATAGTGGGGTTTGCTTTTCCTCATATAGATTGAGCTGTCAGATTAAAGCTTTTTCTAAGTCTTGAGGAAAACAGACTTCTGAGGCATTCCGGTGGGTAAAAAATATGACATATCAGTGACAACTATATTTGACTTTAGTGATGTTTCCCAAAATCATACTGTTATGCTATAACTCTGTCATTAATTCTTCATATCTGAGGTATCCTTTCCCATATTTGTGATAGCCATGTGACATGAAAGCAGTGATTGTGAAGCTCTTCAATTCTGTCACACATACATAGAATTCTCCATTAAAAGCAGGAAAAGATGTAGGGAAGAAATTTAGGCGGAAAAAGCCTAATTTCATCCAGTCAAGACATCCCACAATAGTATATCGCTAATAGATATAAATAGAATTTGAGATAACGTGATGTGCCTCACTTTTCTATGAAATGACTGAGGCACAATTAAAACATTAATGAGGATCCTTCTAATTAAATAAATTAGGCTCAGTTTTTCAAATTAAGCTGGATGATAACAAAGAGTCTGGTTCCTTAGAAACACTGATACCCAAAATTTCCCCAATCCCCTGATGTCTGCAGATTCCTCAAATTAAATCCTTACTCAATTAGTATACATTATTATGGATATCGTGTATGCTGCTGTTCAAGTGCCAACTTGCTAGTTGTTTGTTAAAACATTTTTAATCTGGTTACCAAATTAATAGATTTTCTGCTAATGTAATATGCAAAACAATTAACCAGATTATCCTG